TGAAGATGGCCGGCACGCGCATGTCTGTTCCAATGGCGTTTTCAGGCTGTTTTCAGGCTGTTTTTTGGGCTGTTTTGGGGCCATTTTCAGGCCGTTTTCCAAGCCATTTTCAGGGCTGCTTCTGGCCCCAAAACAGCCTGAAAACAGCCAAAAGATGGCCTGAAAATAGCCTGGAAAAGGCCCAGAAAATGGCTTGGGTGTTGGTCAGTTTCCAGACTGTTTCCAGGCCACCCTTGGCCTAAAAACAGCCCCAAAAATGGTCTGAAAAATGGCCTGGAAATGGCCCTGAAAAGGCCCGGAAAATGGCCTGTTTTTTGGTCATTTTCCAGGCCGTTTTCAGGCCACTTTTGGCCTAAAAACGCCCAAAAAACGGTCTGAAAATGGCCTGGAGAATGGCCTGAAAAAGGCCTGGAAATCCCTGAAAAGGCCTGGAAAATGGCTTGTTTTTTTGGTCATTTCCAGGCCGTTTCCAGGCCACCCTTGGCCTAAAAACAGCCCCAAAAACGGTCTGAAAAATGGCCTGAAAAGGCCCGGAAAATGGCCTGTTTTTTGGTCATTTTCCAGGCCGTTTTCAGGCCACTTTTGGCCTAAAAACGGCCCAAAAAACGTCTGAAAATGGCCTGGAGAATGGCCTGAAAAAGGCCTGGAAATGGCCTGAAAAGGCCCGGAAAATGGCTTGTTTTTTGGTCATTTTCCAGGCCGTTTCTGGGCCGTTTTATTTATTTATTTATTTATTTATTTATTTATTTATTTATTTATTTATTTATTTATTTATTTATCACATTTGTATACCGCCCTACTCCCGAAGGACTCAGGGCGGTGAACAGCCAAACAGTAAAATACATAAATACAAAATTTAAAAAACAGGATAAAATTGAATTAAACAATTTGGCCCAGACAAATTAAAACCCCCCAGTCGTTTAAAAACAGATTAAAATTTGCATGTTTAAAAAGAAAAGAGGGGAAAAAGGTTAGGCCAGGCCCGCCTGGTGGAATAAAAAGGTCTTCAAAGCGCGGCGGAAGGTGCACAGATCCGGGATCCTCCGTATCTCCGGGGGGAGCTCATTCCAGACAGTAGGTGCCCCCACAGAGAAGGCTCTCTCCCCTTAAAACGGCCCAAAAAACGGTCTGGAAACGGCCCAGAAACGGCCTGTTTTTTGGCTGATTTTCAGGCCGTTTTCTGGCACTCCAGCACCTGCGAAGAGCAGCTGGCTGGCGCACATGTGCGTGCCGGAAACCAGAAGACCAGCAACAGAGAGGGCTGTGCGTGCCACCTCTGGCACGCCTGCCATAGGTTTGCCATCATGGCCTTATCTCCTCTTTCCTTAAAGAACGAACCAAGTGCAAAATAGTTACAAGGTCATTCTCTGTCAATCAACTGAAAAAAAAATCACCTTGTTTTCCTTGTAACTTTCAGCTGTTATTCAGAAGGTAGAAAAAGCCTTTGTTTCCTGATCTTTATGTTCCTGCTGATTTTGGCTCTCGTGTTATTAAAAAAAAAAACCTTCATTTCTCTTTCTGAGTTTTTCCTGGTTATCTAGTTTTCTTTTTTTTATTGCTTGCCCCGTTCGAACCTTTGCTCCTGCCAAACATTTAAAGCAGAATACAGTAACTTGCTTTGTATGCAAAGGTCATCGGTTCAATCATTACCTTTTCCGGATAGGACTAGAAAAGATTTGTGCCAGTCCAACCTTTCCGAACAGCGCTGGGCAAAGATGCGCCAGAAATAGCAACATTGATTTATTGATCGCAAGCGCAGTCGTGTGGCCTATGTTAGAAACGTCCTAAATGTCATTTTCCCCATGATAATTGCAACGTTTGATAATTGCAGCCAATTAGATGTGCCTCCCCCTGTGCTCCACATCACATTTTGTTTTTAAATCTCTCTCTTGCATGAACCTAGTCCTCATCAGACACTGTGAATGGCTCTTAGCCAAAGGAAATTCTGGGAGTCATAGTTGCGGCTCATCTGGAAATCAGCAGTATGTACAGCTAGTCCTCGACCTACGACCACAATTGAGCCCAACGCTTCTGTTGCTAAGCAAAACAGTGATTAAGTGAATTCCCCCCCATTTTATGACCTTTCTTGCCACAGTTGTTAAGTGAAACACTTCAATTGTTAAGTGAGTAACACGGTTGTTAAGTGAATCTGGCTTCCCCATTGACTTTGCTCAACAGAAGGTTGCAAAAGGGAATCACACATGATCCCAGAGACACTGCAACAGTCATAAATATGTGCTGATTGCCAAGTGCCTGGATTTTTTTTTTTTTCAACAAAAACAATTTTTTATTTTATAAACAAAAATAAAACATAAAACCATCATCATTCCAAACAATTACAGACAGTGTATCGATCGGTTAACATCCTTTTGTGCTCAATCCCATCTTCAAAATATCAATATATGACCAAAGCTTATTTTCATAAAGAAATATTTCACTTATTTACCTCAACTTCCACTTCATATTTATCTCCATATTTTATTATTTATCCATTGATAAAATAAATCCCATATCAAATAATATTGTTTATCTTCCTGTTCTCTTATTTCAAATGTCAGTTTACTCATTTCAGCACAGTCCATCATTTTCTTAATAACTTCTTCATCAGTAGGTATCTTTTCTCCTTTCCAGTTTTTAGCAAATACAATTCTAGCCGCTGTTAAAACGTTCACAATTAAATATGCCTGGATTTTGATCACGTGACCATGGGGGATGCTACAACTGTCATAAGTGTGAAAAATGGTCATAAGTCACTTTTTTCAGTGGCATTGTAACTTTGAAACAAAACAAATTCTTGTAAGACGAGAAGAATGTTGAAAATACTGAATGAGATAGATCTTGTTTAATTAAAGCAGTTTGTTGATTCCTAGATAATTTGAGAAAAATAACCGGCATTCTTGACTGAGGGAATTGTAGTTTTCACTTTCTGAAGAGAACTTGATCTAGGGGAGATATGATAGCAGTGTTCCAATATTTCAGGGGTTGCCACAAAGAAGATGGAGTCAAACTATTCTCCAAAGCACCTGAGGGCAGGACAAGAAGCAACGGGTGGAAACTAATCAAGGAGAGAAGCAACTTAGAACTAAGGAGAAATTTCCTGATGGTTAGAACAATTAATCAGTGGAACGACTTGCCTCCAGAAGTTGTGAATGCTCCAACACTGGAAGTTTTTAAGAAGATGTTGGATAACCATTTGTCTGAAGTGGTGTAGGGTTTCCTGCCTAAGCAGGGGGTTGGACTAGAAGACCTCCAAGGTCCCTTCCAACTCTGTTATTCTATTCTGTATTTGCATATTCATAGCTCAAAGACTCTATGTATAAGTTCTCAATTTAGGACCATTCTATTAATAGTTCTTTGGAGGGTTTTATTTTATTTATCTATATCCTGCTTTTATTATTTTTACAAATAACTCCAGGCAGTGAACATATTCAACGCACCTTCCTCCTTTCATTCCTCATTCATTGCAGATCATTAGATCTATAGTTAACCAAGTTATCAAATACGAATAGATTTTTTGAATGTAAAGATCGTCAGTATATTCTTAGCAAGGATATCAAACACAGTGTTACCTTCATGGATGGACAAATGGCAACGAGATGGCTGGCGAACAGATTTAATTTAATAAATAAAATAAGTGTTCTGTTCCTAAATCTGTGTTTCTGAGCAGTGTGTTTTTCAGTAGATTCTGTCTTTGAATTCAGCTCTCCATCATCCAGCATCTAAAAATATTACAAACTTTGTAAATAACATTTGTTAGTTGTGAATAACAGAAACCAGAATATCCAAACTACTTGTCTGAGTTTTTATTACATGACACAAATTTAAATATATTTAGTAGTCCTGTGCTAAGGGGGAAGAAAAAAATGCTACTACGGGAAGATACCTTGTTTAAATTTAATTTTGTGTGTGTATGTGACTTGTCAAACTTTAAGTCTAATGTCTAGCACAAAGTAATCAGAAACATACTGATCCCATAAAACGTGTATTTCATGGCAAATACAGTTTGTGCTCTAAAAATTAGGATGGCACAACATTTTTGGCAAGGAATGTTGATGTGCAGATGTCATGTTCTATGAAAGATGCTATGAAAGAGCTCAGAAATGGAAGGTTCTGTTATTGTTGGAAAGTTGACAGCCATTCTTTTTAAAACACTGCCATGGAACAAATTTGTGAAAATATTAGACAAACTTTGCATGTTATCTAACCATGATGGAAAACCTAAGGCACGCGTGCCTGAAGTTGCACACGGAGCCATGTCACCTGGCACAGACGGCATTGCCTGTTCCTCTTCCTGGTTTCTGGCATGCACGCACGTGTGACGATCAGCTGGAAAAGGTTCGCCATCACTGTCATATAAGATGATAAAATTGTGTTGATTGCCTACCTCATAATCTTGAATGGGGCTCTTTATGTGTTTATTTTTCCCCATTGACAATTTAGGATTCTGTACATTCATTAAACAGCAATTCAAAGAGTGATGCCTCTCTTGCCTCACAATCAGGAGGCTGTGAGTTCGATCCTAGGTAGAAGCAGATATTTCTCTCTCTGGGCACAATGAGAATAAATCTGCTGAACAAAACTCCACATCGGTGACAGGAAAGGCACCCAGCCAGTAAACACTCAGCTCCATTCAGTTCTGCGTGCTGCTTCTGGCAAGCCAAGTCAAAAGGAGAAGCCAGTTTTGCTTAATGACCGTATACTGTGGTGATCCTCTTAATAGCCATGGCAAAAAAGGTTGTAAAATGGAGCATGCTTTGCTTCATAACCGCCTCGCAACAAAAGAGTTTGGGCTCAGTAACAGAGAGCTAACTGTCTCTCTATTCATTTGGGATCTGTAGCCTTTGTTTCAAAATTATTTTTCAATAAAATATTTTTACTTGAAAAAACAATCAGACACTCAGCAAGCATGTGTAGAAAATTTGGAGATTATGTATTCCTCTGTTATTAAAGCTTACAGATTTTTTTAACTCCAGTTTTTTTCCTTTTATCTCTCTGCTTAGTTTATTCCCATGCCTGTCCTGTATGGTGTGTTCCTCTACATGGGTGTTGCATCCCTCAACGGAGTGCAGGTAAGTGTCAGCCTTCACAATCCAGCTCTTTTTTCACAGGTGCAGTAGATATTCCAGAGACCCAGGCTGGAAAAGGGGTAAACATTAATCCATATTGCCGTTCTTCTACAACAGGGGTGTCAAACTCAAGGCCTGCAGGCTGGATCTGACCCACGCGGTACTTAGAACTGGCCTGCGCGGTTGCCCTGGAAACAGTGAAGGACCAGCCTGTGGTGCCTCGGCCTTCCGGAGCTCCGTTTTCACTGGCAGAGGGTTGCAGGAGGCCGTCACAGCTGAAAATGGAGCCCGGGAGCCCATTTTCACTGGCAGACCGTTCGGGCCAGCACAAACGCCCCCGACACGACTGACGTCAAGCTGGCCACGCCCACCTTGCCCCCCCTCCAAGCTCAAACACAACCCTGATGCGGCCCTCAATGAAATCGAGTTTGACACCCCTGTTCTACAACCTAGAAATGGCCATTCATTGTCGACAAAAAGCACATTTAACTAGTTTGCTAAATTGCAACACTCATGCCCTCCCTCCCCAGGGGTCCTAAAGTGTGACATCTTATGTCCCCATTGCTTAGCGGCAACAATCCCGGGAGTCCCTATTGCTGTCGTTAAAGCGAATTCCATGCCGTCATGAAGCGCAACCTCACACGATCGCTATTTGTGATTTCCTGCTGGCTTCCCCATTGACCTTGCTGGCCAGAAGCTGTCGGTAAAGGTTGCAACGGATGCAATTCTGCAATTGTGATCCAATTGTGGCGCATCCAGATTGCAATCCAGTGACTGCAGAGATGTTGCAACGGCAACATCTTTGAGGACCCGATGCAAGTTGCGCCCATTCAGCACTGTTGTTATGTTCACATGGTCGTTAAGCAAGGAGCACCCATATAGGTAGTCCTTGCTTAATGACTGCCCTATTTAGCAACCATTCATATTTAGGATGGCACTGAAAAATGACTCTATGACAGATCCTTGCATTTATTTATCTGTATCCTGCCTTTATTATTGTTACGAATAACATAAGGTGGCAAACATACCTAATACTCCTTCCTTCTTCTATTGTCCCAATTGTGGGCATTAAGTGGTTACTATCTGTACGTCAGTCACCATATAGAAACTTAAATCTAGAAATAATTGGACCTAGCTAAATCTCCTGTGGTTATTTGAGGACTTATTGATTTTTGATCATTTATTATTGAATATCAAGTTTCTGGAGAAAGTATGAAAGGAGTCACATGGTGTTTACACAAGTCCTTTTTTCCCCCTTGCCTACACCATTGTTACATATTTGTTTTCATGAAGAGTAGTTTTAAAAAAACGTATTAAGAAGCAAGATAGTCCTGCCCTCTACAGAAATGCTCAGATTTCATCTTTGGAACATTTTTATTGAATGCAAAGGTTGTCCTCCTGAGATGATAAATCTTACCCGTAGCTTTAGATAAGGTTTGCGAGAAACACACCCTGGTCTTTTAGCAAATACCCACAAAGTTCCTTGTGAAACAAACGCATGAGAAAGTATATAATAAACTATTTAGCGTGGACTTTCTCAGATCAAGTTCATTTCCTGGTGAGTTCATGGCTGTATCCATGTGGTTTCCTTGTCAACAGCTGTACTGTAGGAGTTGGTTGGCCACACTCTTCGTACAATTTTCCACTTTCTGCGTTTGAGCAGATCAAACCCGGTTTAGTGTTCCAAGATCAAGATCAGCTAGATAAGCCTTAGCAGACACAACTGTATATCATAATGTGATACTTAATTAATGCAATCTTTGCCTTAATTAATGCAATCTTTGAATATCCAGAAAATGGAAAGAGTGTCTAATAAACCATAAAACAGAATGAGAACGTTGTAACTGGTAAATTCTAGCAAAAGGAGCAGCCAGGTGGATCATCTGGAAAATGTACTCCACAATTCCAGTATCTCGCCATGAATATTCTGCTGCATCAGGAGCAGATTCAACTGCCTTGTAAGGTTTTACCTAAAGTAGGGTCTTCTTGGAAGAAAGAAGAGAACATAATCCATAGATATATACTCAAGAACATTCGAGACTTTACACGGTCTGGCAACAGACTTCTTGAGTTTTTCAAGTATGGAATTAGGAGAGTGTTCAAAAACTTCCTAGCTATTGTTTTTGCACCGGTTGGTGTTTTCCTAAAGAACCCACGTGGTAGAATCACACAACTCCAGTGTTTAGACAGATATCAATATTAACTAAAAGTTAAGCTGTGTAATATCCCTCTCCTCCTCTCCTCCTCTGCCTCTCTCTCTCTCCTCTCCTCCTTCTCCTCTCCTCTCCCTCTCCTCCTGTCCCTCTCCTCTCCCTCTCTTCTCTCCTTCTCCCTCTCCTCTCCCTCCCTCTCCTCTCTCCTCTCTCCTTCTCCCTCTTCTCTCCCTCTCCTCTCCTCCTCTCTCTCCTCCTTCCTTTCCTCTCCTCTCCTCTCCTCTCCTCTCCTAATCTCCCTCTCCCTCTCCTCATTTCCCTCTCTCCTCTCCCTCTCCCTCCCTCTCCTCTCCCTATCTTTCTCCCTCTCCTCCTCTCCCTCTCCTCTCTCCCTCTCCCTCTCCTCTCCCTCTCCTCTCCTCCTCCCTCTCCTCTCCCTCTCCCTCTCCTCCTCTCCCTCTCCTCTCTCCTTCTCCCTCTCCTCTCTCTCTCCTCTCCTCCTCTCTCTCCTCCTCCCTCTCCTCTCCCTCTCCCTCTCCTCATCTCCCTCTCAACACTCTCCCTCCTCTCCCCTCTCCCTCCCTCTCCTCCTCTCCCTCTTCCCTCTCCTCTCCCTCTCCTCTCCTCCTCTCCCTCTCCCCTTCCCTCCATTCTCCTCTCCCTATCCCCTCCTCTCCTTGATAACTTGAGTGAGAGATTGTGATAATAGATGGAAGATGGAAGGTGATCCCTTGACTTCTAGAACTCAAAGTTATCACTTGCTCTTTCTGTCCCATGATGGCCCCTTTGAACGTTCCTTTCTCCACCTCAGTTCATGGATCGCCTGAAGCTGCTCCTGATGCCTCTCAAGCACCAGCCTGACTTCATCTACCTGCGACATGTCCCCCTCCGCCGAGTCCACCTCTTCACCTTCCTTCAAGCCTTGTGCTTGGCCCTCCTTTGGATCTTGAAGTCTACGGTAGCTGCTATCATATTCCCAGTCATGGTAGGTGAAAATTTTCACACCGGTATTCTCTTGCATCTTTCGGAGCTGTCAAATGTTGTATCTCACCATTATACTACCCAATATATTGACAGGAACTGGCAATTTTCTTTAAACTTTAGAATCAAAATCCATTAAGGACAATCTAAGCTTGTTTGAGGCCAGTCTCCAAGATTTTGCCCACAGTGGTCCTCTCTTTCATGGGTTTCTAATGTCAGTTTTAGTTCTCTTGAACCTTAACGGCAGGGGTGAAATCCAGCAGGTTCTGACAGGTTCTGGAGAACCGGTAGCGGAAATTTTGAGCAGTTTGGAGAACCGGCAAATACCACTTCTGGCTGGCCCCAGAGTGAGGTGGGAATGGAGATTTTGCAATATCCTTCCCCCAGGACTGGGGAGGGAATGGGGATTTTGCAGTATCCTTCTCCTGGAGTGGGGTGGGAATGGGGATTTTGCAGTATCCTTCCCCTGCCACGCCCACCAAGCCACGCCCACCAAGCTACACCACGCCCACAGAACCAGTAGTAAAAAAAAATTGGATTTCACCACTGCCTCCATATTCTAACTTTTCATAGCAAAATTTGACTTTGTTCTAAATCTTCTAGGAGCACAACTAATTATTTTGCTTTGCGGTATCGGTAGCCCTCGACTTACAACCATAACTGAGCCCAAAATTAATGTTGTTAAGTGAGAGTTTTGTTAAATGAGTTTTCCCCATTTTTATGACCTTTCTTGCCAGTGAAGTGAATCTCTGCAATTGTTAAGTTAATAACATGGTTGTTAAGTGAATCTGACTTCCCTGTTGACTTTGCTTGTCAGAAGGTCACAAAAGGGGATCCCATGACCCCAGGATACTGCAACTGTCATAAGTATGAGTCAGTTGCCAAGTGTCTGAATTTTGATCACACGACCATGGGGATGCGCAATGGTCGTAAGTCATTTTTTCAGCCCCGTTGTAACTTTGAACGGTCACTAAACGAACTGTCGTAAGTCGAGGACCACCTGTAGAAGCTTAGAGGATTGAGGTGGAAAATGCCTACGTGCCAATAAGGGAATGTTGAATTCTGTCTTGACAGATCCTCGCCCTCGTGGCCGTCAGGAAGGGGATGGATTATTTCTTCTCCCAACATGACCTCAGTTTCCTTGACGACGTCATTCCAGAAAAGGACAAGAAGAAAAAAGAAGATGAAAAGAAGAAGAAGAAAAAGAAGGGCAGCGTAGACAGTGACAACGATGACGTAAGCATGTTTGCTCTTTTAAAACAAAAGATGACATCTTTATCTTGGCTAATTTATAAGAGCCAAGAAGGACCAGGATTATGGGAGCCTGTGAAGATTCTCCTTCCTCCAAGTCATGGTTGTCCAAAAAGTGTTTTTTTTCAGGAGGCAACTGGACTTTCTTAGTTTTTTCTTTTGAAGATGTTTCACTTCTCATCCAAGAAGCTTCTCCAGCTCTGACTGGATGGTGTGGAATGGAAGGATTTATGTTCCTTGCAGACAGCTGGTCATTTGCATCCTTTTTGAGGGTCGTTGAAGCACCTGGAGATTTTTCTGTGTCCTCAGGGTCACTTGAGTAGTGCAAATGGTTCCTGTAGTCTGCAATTATTCCTCTGGAAATCCATTCCTACTCCCACCCCATTCAAAATTGTATAGCTAAAAGTCTGTAGAGATTCTCAGTCCTCCATGCTCACAGCTTAGAAAATGTGGCTGAATAGGACGGCATAGCACCGGGGTCACCATTACCGGTTTTCCCGAACCGTCTGAATACCACCTGGTCCTTAACTCTGGTCTGAAGCAAGCAAATGAAAATAAATGATGCGAAATAGGAACGTGAACATTTTTTGTTTTAAACGCTGTGCCCGTTTCCTTTACAGTCTGATTGTCCGTTCACGGAAAACGTGCCCAGTATTAAAATCCCGATGGACATCATGGAGCAGCAACCTTTCCTCAATGATGGGAAGCCTACCGAGAGTGAGTAGCGCTGATTTTTTTCGCACGCTTCCATAATTGCAATTTCCAAAACTGAGCAGACGTAGATGGGTAGACATCCTTACAGGTCTGCATTAAAACATTCATGGATTTTTATTTATTTTTTAAAATCTTGTTCAGTAGAGGTTGTTTTCCTCCTGTTTCTTTTCTTTTTTCCCCCCCCCTCCCTACACCCGACCTGTGGAATTTTTGTTGACTTTCAAAGAATGTATTTGCTTTGAAGCACTTAGACATATTGTGACGTTTGACCTCTTTTCTCTCTCTCTCCTCCTCCCTCCCTCCCTCCCTGAGATTCTGGCGTTAGTTGCTTTGAAGCAGCTGCTAAGCGAGCAGATACTACGAGTGCTGTCTCTCACTGTAATTCTCTTTTAAGCTTTCAAATCACCCAGCCTGTCTCTAGCCCAGTTTTTATATATATATATATATTTCCACATGTAGATCTGTATGCTTTCTTTTTCCCTGGAGTTTTCTATTCCTGCTGTCTAATCTTCTCATTTGTACCATATAGAAAATGTTCTGTCTGCAAAGAAGATCACTGAGTATTTAGAAAATAGCTTGATAATGGCAAATTAATATAGCTGATTAGGGCCTCTTTCTTTGGCCTCTTAGAAGAGTGTCTTAGCCCCCAGATTATTTTGTCCCTGTCTCCCTTCCTTCCTTCCTTCCTTCCTTCCTTCCTTCCTTCCTATCTCTTTCTCTTTTTTCTTTCTTCCTTCCTTTCCTTCCTTCCTTCTCTCTCTTTCTTTTTTACTCTTTTTTCTTCTTCCCTTTTCCTTCCTATCTTTCTCTTTTCCCTTCCTTCCTTCCTCCCTCCCTCCCTCCATCCATCCATCCCTTCCTTCTTCTTTTCTTTCTCTCTTTTTTCTCTCTTACTCTTTTTTCTTCCCTTCTCCTCCCTCCCTCCCTCCCTCTCTTTCTTTTTCTTTCTTCCTCCCTCCTCCTCCCTTCCTTCCTTCCTTTCTCTCTCTCATACTTACTCTTTTTCTTCCTCCCTCCCTCCCTCTCTTTTCCTTCCTTCCTGCCTGCCTGCCCGCCCTCCCTCCCTCTTTCCTTCCTTCCTCCCTCCCTTCCTTCCTTCCTTCCTTCCTTCCTTCCTTCCTTCCTTCCTTCCTTCCTTCCTTTCTTTCTTTCTCACTTGCTGCTTTCATTTTCTGAGAATATCTTAAAGATCTGTTGCAGAGGTGCCTGCAACATGTGATCAAGAGATGGCAGTCATAATGCACATAAAAAGAGAGCTCTTGACTGCCAACTTGTCTTCATTCTGGGAAATAATATTTTTTGAAATCTGAGGGCTGGCCCTTGTTTGAAGCATGCCACCTTTCTTCTGATTAAAGTCATATTTCAAAATTTTTAAAAGTCCATTAGGGCAGGAAGTATATAAGGGAAGGCAGTGATGTACTATAGTCTGTATATAAGGAGCTGTTTAACTACCATGTCATATTTAGTTTATTTTGAGAGTTGATATTTTGAGAGTGTTATTAGTGGTGGCTCAGTGGCTAAGATGCTGAGCTTGTCGATCGAAAGGTCAGCAGTTCAGCGGTTCGAATCCCTAGTGCCTCGTAAAGGGGTGAGCTCCCATTACTTGTCCCAGCTTCTGCCAACCTAGCAGTTCGAAAGCAGGTAAAAAATGCAAGTAGAAAAATAGGGACCAATTTTGGTGGGAAGGGAACAGCGTTCCGTGCGCCTTTGGCATTTAGTCATGCCGGCCACATGACCACAGAGACGTTTTCGGACAGCGCTGGCTCTTCGGCTTTGAAACGGAGATGAGCACCGCCCCCTAGAGTCGGGAATGACTAGCACATAAGTGCCAGGGGAACTTTTACCTTATTAGCTTCTGTTTAAAGTATATTAGGAATTAATAACCAGACCAGAAAAGCAACACAAGGTTTTATTTCAGTCATGTGAGGTTCTTCATATAGAAAAGAAGGATTGGACTTTCTAAGTAAAATGTTTGTTTTTTCAATAACACAGAAGAAAAATCAACATTCCTTGAACGCCATACATCATGCTGATCAAATTCCTCACTTCCATTCCTATATGCCAAGGTAAGCCGCTTTGTGTATTTCCAAATTTTATACACACATACACACACACGTATAACACACACAGACCCCTAATGAAAACACCAGGATACCCGTTTCAAACGGCTTTCATCCAGAATGTTGCCGTCAATAAATTAGGCATAAACTTCATACAGACAAATGAAGGCAGGTCTGGGTCACATAAGGCCTTCATTTTTGAAGCAGCTTTAGAGAATGTTCTCCTGCAGCCTCCAAAAACCACTTGAATTCGTGGTCCATTCCCATGTGTTTTTTGGACGTTCGGAGGATACATGAGAACACGGCCCTCTTGTGAGACTTCCGCAGATTCTGGAGTCTGTGTGAGAGCATAACCCATGGTCTCTGCAGCCCCTCAAAAATCATGCAAAATACAGCCTGTTCTCCATGATTGTGTTGTGGCCCATCAGCGGCCTGTGCGGATTGTAGCTCACTCTGACAGCGAGGAGGCTGGTGTGGTGTTGCGCCAGCAGCCTGTGCAGCTGGCACTCGAATCGGACAATGAGGAGGCTGGAGAAGATGTGGTGCCAGAGGTGGGGATTGAGCCGGGGCCTTCAGAACCTCCAGAAGCTCCTTTAAGTGAAGAGGACGAAGAGGAGGAGCCTTTTCTCGATGCACGGGCGTGCAGAGCTGCCAAAAGGCAGGAGTGGCTCCTCAGGAGGAGGTCTCCTCGAGAGTAAGGCTTGGGGCTAATTGGCCACTCCCTTAGCCTATTTAAGGATAGACGACTAAAGCAATTTGTAGGGAACAACTTTAGTTCATTCTCCTTTGCGTTTGGATTCTCTGCAAATTGCTTCTGGGCTTTCGGCCAACCTTAGTAAGATTGTGATTACTTTATCTTTGGTTTCTTGTAGGCTGTTAAGAAAGTTTATTAACAGCCTTTGTTTGGAAAAGACTGAGTTTTTAGTAAATTTAAGTTTTGTATAGACTTTTTGCGTGCTGTGTTCTTTGGGGTCCGTAGCTGGGGCAGAACAGATTTTCAGAGCCTCCAGAGAACACGTAAGAACACGGATTGCCTATTAATCTGCAGAGATTCTAGTCATCCAGGTCACAGTTGTCCCAAAGGTGCTTTTTCAGGAGGCAACTGGATTTTCTTTTCTTTTCTTTTTTTTTTAAAGACGTTTCACTTCTCATCTTGAATTATCTTGGATGAGAAGCGAAACGTCTTCAAAAGAAAAGAAAAAAAAAAAAACAAGAAAGTCCAGTTGCCTCCTGAAAAAGCACTTTTGGGACAGACGGCTCTCATATGTGACTTCTAGAGGGTCCAGAACAGCAGTCACGAACTGGTGGTCCGTGGACCACCAGTGGTCCACGAGAAAACTTTGGTGGGTCCGCAGAAAAATTATTTGCATTTTTCATACTGCACTAAATCAAGTCTCCTCAAATTACGGTCCCTGGACTGGATATGTGCAATGAACGGTTGTGTTGCTGCAGAGAGTCTCCCCCTTCGGGGTCTTTTTCTGTGGGTCGGAGGGGGGCAGAAATTCCAACTCAGGGTCTGCTTCAGCCTCCTGGTACGGGGCTTTGGGCGAAGGCTAGAGGGAAGTACTGCTGGTGGCAAAGAGCCGGAGGGCCTCATTCCAGTGGGACCACATCATGGCCTGGAACTGGCTGACCATCTCAGCCCGCTGAGCCTCCAGGTGCCGGTACCTGGCCTTGCACTCCCGCAGGTCTTCCCTCTGCTTGGAAAGCCTATGCTTGTAGTCCTCAGTGTGGTGCTTCTGCTGAGCCTCCTCCTCGGTCAGATCCAATTTGAACTGAACTGTTTTGCCAACTCTTTCTCGTGGTGGCTACTTAACTCCAACAACTGCTTCCTGTTGGGGCCCTAAGGAGCCCAGGCGGGGAGTGGCTGGGAGGGATGGGGTTAGTAGAGGCTGGCGAAGCGCCCCTCGACGTGAGTGACATCGATTTGGCCATGCCCACCCAGTCACATGACCACCTAGCCACGCCCACCCAGCCGATCATTAGGCAGATCATATTAGTGGTCCGCAGGATTTAAAATTATGAATTTAGTTGTCCCTGGGGTCCAAAAGGTTGGTGAGCCCTGGTCCAAAAGACTATGCAAGACCTCATCTCCTTCTCACATGATCTCCGAAAATACATAAGAACAAGGTGGGTTTTCAAGAAGAGTTGTCAGGTGTTGGCCAACGCTGGTAGGTCGCCCAAAACATCACGGCAATGTCTCCTTTGACACGTGTGTCCTAGGTTCACCATCAATAGCTCCGGAGCCAGTGGTGGGCTGCAGCCGGTTCAGGCGAATCAGTAGTTGCAACCCTGGCGCTATGCCGTCCTATGCACACGCTCACATTTTCAGTGCTGGGTGAACCGGTTTTTAATTCCTGTGCCACCCAACTCTGTCTTATTGTGCTGCCTTTCCTGGAGGTGTACAATCTCTGAATGGTAACTCTGTGATTTCATCTTTCTAGGCCTACGCAAAATCCTGACGGAAGTTGTGCCTCAGATTAGAATAGCGCTCATCCCTGAAGACCACGCCTACTTTCGGAATAGCAAGGGAACAGAACACACTTTCACAACTACTGCGTCTTCATCTTTTATTGCGGGAGTCTCCCCCAAAAAAACCTTGCCACTTGAAGACTTTGTGGACTTCAACTCCCAGAATTCCGGCTGGGGGAATTCTGGGAGTTGAAGTCCACGAGTCTTGAAAGCAGCCAGGTTTTTGAAGGAGATCAGCCCTGCTTTTATGGAACTGGATTTTCTTTGTCGTCTTCTCTAGTCGAATGTTCAGTTGCTGTTATCCATCTAGGTTAAAAAAAACAAAAACAAACCCAGATGTATCCTTCTTCCTTTAGATTTTATTCTATTTCCTCTCTTCCTCGCTTCAACCCATTTGTGTATTTTTCGTCGCAAGCCATTTCTCTTCCCTTTCATTTCTGACCAATTTTTTTTTTCTGCCTTTTCAATATATGCGCCTCCTCTGTTTGCATTTCAGTAGAGGGTGCAAGTATTAAGGATATATTATTGCAACGTGATTTGTTGTCAGCAAAATGGACTGTTATTTTTATTTTTTAGATGCGAATCAGTGTTTCCCATCCTATCTGTTTCTTTGGGGCATTTGTCGATATTAAGGTTTTGATTTGATTTTTTTTTTTTTAAATCTCTCTCTTTTCTTTCTCTCTAAGTAGAACAACACTGACTTTCAGGCAAACGCCCGGTAAACTCTCGATTCCTGCAAAAATGCTGCTATCTTAACATGCTCTTAATGTCACCTCTGCTTTTGTATTTTGGTGCAAAGCAGTCGAAAAGGTGCAAATCCACACAGATGCATTCTCTTCTTTTCACCATTAATGTGTGACGTTTGTATAACCCGCTCCTATGCAACTTTCATTCTGTAACACTGAAATGGATTCTTAAGCTGTCGGCTGTGTTGACAAAGTGTTATCTGTTTTAAATTATGGGGGCTTAATCTGTAACATTTATTGTGGGGTGGGGTGGGGTGAGAATGGTTGATTTTTAAACATTTTTTTAAAACTTAGTGTAAAAAAAAAAAATGACTTTCTTTTTTCCTGCAGCAGGAAATATAGTTTTGAGTAGTTCTACCTCTTGTTTCTAGATTTGGGCTTTTTTCTTTAAAAAAAAAATATAAAGAAAAATAAAGAAAATGTTTTAATAATAGTAGTAGTAGTAATAATAATAATAATTGTATAATATATTATATAATGTGATTTTTACAAAAAGAACAAAAAAAAAACCACACCAAAAATACATGCTCAAGGGTATATTATACCTGTGTTTTTTTTACAAATTTGGCAACTTTTGAGAGGCATGGATTTCGATTCCCAGAACCCCATGCAGGCTGGGGAATTCTGGGACTTGAAGTCCCCGCATCGAAAAGTGGCCCAAGTTTGCAAAAGATGGCTATATATTAGCATCGAACTTAAAAATCAGCTGTATCAATACTTTTTTAAAAAATCGTGTTTCTTTTCTTTCCATTTCTTCTTTCCTTTTAACAATCTAAATCAGGGGTGTCAAACTTGATTTCATTGAGGGCCGCATCAGGGTTGTGTTTGACCTTGGGGGTGGGCGTGGCCAGGGTGGGCGTGGCCAGCTCGACGTCACTAGTCACTAGCGCTCTGCCAGCGAAAATGGGCTCTTGAGCTCCGTTTTTCCTGGCAGAGGCACCCTCAGGCCAGTCCTTTGCTGTTTCCAAGGCGACCCTGCGGACCAGATCTAAGCACTCCCCGCAGGCCGAATCCGGCCTTGAGTTTGACACCCCTGATCTAAATCAAGGATACTTCTTCAAAATACTCAATTTTTTCCCCCCAACTGATACCTGTTTAAAAGCGAGTGGAACAATCCGCTGAGCCCCTTTCCTCTTTTCTGCCGTGCCTGTCTTGATCGCACAGAGATTTTTACACCCCCCTCCCTGTGCAAACAACTTAGGACACCAGAGTAGGTTGTGCAGCGGTATCACTAACACATTGCCTTCAGACGGGATAGGCTAATGCAAAAGTGTGGGGGGGGCCGGCCCAGACTTTTTGCCTTGGGTAGGTCTCTGTTGAAATTCGTCTTTGTGGTTCGTTTTTCATTTTTGCAAAATCGCTGTTGCGTGCGATTGTGTGCACGTTGGGCAGAAAACGGATTGGATTCGAAAGTGGGTTTTACGCCTTAATTACCAACCCTCCCTGGTCTTACTTTATCCACCTCTGTCGAAAAGTGAGGTAGTCCTTGACTTACGGCTACAAGTGAGCCCCAAATTTCTGTTGCTAAGTGAGGCAGCTGCTAAGTGAAGTTTGCACTGTTTTACGACTTTCCTTGCCACGGCCGTTAAAGTGAATCGCTTCAGTCGTTAAGTTAGCAACACGATCGTTCGTTGAATCCCGCTCCCCCACTGACTTCGCTGGTCAGAAGATCGCAAAAGAGGGGAATCACTTAACCACGGGACACTGCAGCCGTCATAAATATGAGACAGTTGCCAAGTTTTTCTGAATTTGGATCATGTAACCATGGGGGTGCTGAACGGTCGTAAGTGTGAAAAAACAGTCATTTCAATGCCATTGTAACTTTGAATGGGCATTCAACGAACTGTTGTAAGTCAAGGACCACCTTTATTTTGGCTGGATTGACGCTCTTTCTCCTAAATTCTTGATTTCCATCTTGACCTAAAATTAAAATTGCGTCTAGCTTAGTTTTCTGGACTGTTGTGATTTCAAGCTGTACATTTTCCTGTCCTCTCTGCAACTTCCTTAATTCTGGGGGAATTCTGGGAGTTGAAGTCCAGACTTCTTAAAGTTCCCAAGATTGAAAAAAAACCCTCTAGTCTTATGACAGAATTAAAATGACTGGCTGAGGAATTCTGGGAGTTGAAGTCCAGACTTCTCCAAGTTCTAATATTAAAAAACTCCCCTCTAGTCTTATGACAGAATTAAAATGGCTGGCTGAGGAATTCTGGGAGTTGAAGTCCAGACTTCTCAAAGTTCCCAAGATTGAAAAACTCCCCTATGACAGGAATTAAAATGGAAGAAGTAAAATAATCAGAAACTGGTTAAATGGCCTTCAGGAAATTAAAGATATCAAGACTAGAATCCAAACAAACCCTTTGGGCAGGGATAACTTCTGTGGAGGCATCTTAGGTGAGTTTTCAGATAGCGGGAAGACGTTTGGTACTTCAACTGAGGAAACAAACCATGGCTTGGGAGGGTTTGATTTGGGCTCCGCGAATTGTGAGAAGCCAGCTATTGTAAATTGTAAAGTGGTCTACGGCAGGGGTCTCCAACCTTGATAACTTTAAGACTTGTGGACTTCAACTCCAGAGTTCCTCAGCCAGTTGGCTGAGGAACTCTGGGAGTTGAAGTCCACAAGTCTTAAAGTTGCCAAGATTGGAGACCCCTAGGTCGACGGTTTAGTGCTGAATCCATGGATGTAAATAGTAAGCCGCTTACAGCTTGTGGTTTCGTCCAATCACAGTTAAATGAATAGCGGCTTAGTATGAATGTGGTAATAACACAAATTACTTATGAATTGGAGCGTTGAAGTAGGACTTTTTAGCACAGGAACAATATTAGGAAAAAAAATGGCATTGGCATAGGAAAAAAAAATGGCAATATTAAAAAAAACAAATCGGCATTAACAATATTAGGAAAAAAAATATATTCTCTTTACCGATTCAACAGAATTTAGGATTTTATCCATTCAGTTTATTGTCACTGCCGGCGAATTGGTATTTGGGCCAATGCAATAATGATTGGCTAAACTGCTGGATTAAATTTCTAATGTGTGGGAGAGGAAATACGGGTAGTCCTCGACTTAGGACCACCAATTGGAGTGTGGAAAGTCCATCAATCCGTGGCATGGCCGTTAAATGAGGAATCATCACGTGACCTGATTTTACTGCCTTGTGTGCTAAAGTCATTAAGCGAGACATCACGTGATCCTGCCTTGCAACCTTTCCTGCTGGCTTCCCCGTGGACTTTAGCCATCGGAAGATGGCTAGGAAAGTCGCAATTGGTGGCCGTGCGAACACGGGACACTGCGACCGTCATAAATGAGTGATCATGTGGTTATCAAATGCCCACATCGTGATCACGTGACTGTGGGGGACACTATCTGGCACAAGTCCAAAAGGCCGGTCGCAAACAATTGTAACTTCGAACAGTCACTAAACAAAACGTTCATAAGTCAAGGACTACTGTACTTTCCTTACCTGGCTATACCTCAGAGCATCTCCCTCCAGCTGCCAAAATAAACGTTGAAGAGCACAAAAGGAAGTTTAGAATTTGGAAACGAGCGGTGATATTTTGCACCCGTAATATAAAAACTTACCTGCATTTGCAAACCTCCCCGAATATGCCAAATTATCTGTTGATTCCGAAAGCTAAGTCTTCAGTCTTCGTCTGCTGAATGATATGAAATGTACTTGAATTCCCTTCGGTATCTAATGCTCACTGAACAAAAGTTTTGTTGTTATTTTTGCACTAAGCCTGGCATTATTACAGCGAGAAGAATTTTTTTAAAAAAATCCCTCGTTGGGTTCTTCTTACTGTTTAAATCTGGGGAAAGGATTTTTCGTTGTATGAATTCCAGGTACTAGGAACACTTAGCTGCACAATTTATTTATTTTATTTTGTGTTTAAACGGCTGGCTCTTAAGGGCGCATTGACCTTGCACTTAAAATGGTCTTTTTTTTAAGGCAAGCTGAACTGGCACAACGTCCTGCCACAAAGAAAGTACAGTTAGTCCTCAACTTACAACCCCAATTGAGGCCAAAATTTCTGTTGCTAAGCGAGACGGCTCTTCAGTACGTTCGCTCCCATTTTACCACTTTCCTTGCCACCGTTGTTCAGCGAACCACTGCCGTTGTTAAAGGTTAGTAACACAATTGTGTTTAAGTGACTCTGGCTTTCCCCCCTTGATTATCGCAAAAGTGTGATCACTGCCACCGTCATAAATACGAACCAATTGGCAAGCGTCTGAATGTTGGCCATAGGGATGCTGCAATGGTCGTAAGTGTGAGAAACGGTCATAAATCACTTTGTTCAGCGCCATTGTCATTAGGAATGACAATGATAAATGAACTGTTGTAAGTTGAGGACTACCTGTATTCTTGTCTGTGGAGACTCTCAGTCATCCAAGGTCATGGTGGTTCCCCAAGGTGCTTTTTTTTTTCAAGAGGCAACTGGACTTTCTTGGGTTTTCTTTTGAAGATGTTTTGCTTCTCATCCAAGGGGCTTCTTCAGCTCTGACTGGATGGTGGGGAATGGAAGGATTTATACTCTTTTCAGACAGCTGGTAGGATACGGATAAACCTCCAGGTGGGCTCAAATCCTAAACCAATCACAGTGTTCGGATCAGTGTTTCTCAACCTTGGCAACGCTTAAGATGTGTGGACTTCAACTCCCAGAATTCCCCAGCCAGCCAAGTTGCTAAGATTGAGAAACGCTGGTTTAGACAACCCATATCTCTTGAAAGGGTTGTGGACTATATTAAGGGTGAAATGTTTTGCCCATACTTCCCTGCAGTATTACTAAATTGACCTGCAACCCTTAGAAATGTCTTTTATCCCATGCAGAAAAGAAAAGTACATAAGGTACCGTATCTTAATATCAGGTGCAATCAACCAGAGCCACTCGTAAATTGCGAAAGTCAGAAACTTTATTGTTTACCACCTATGTTGCAAGAATCTCCCCAGGCTGCTTGCCTTCTCCTGGGAACGGCCAGATAAGGCTTTATGGATCTTGTGGGGGAAGTCAAGCTTATGCCACTTGCGGCCGCACAAGGACTCCAAGCTAGGCCCTTGCTTGACTCCTCCTTCCAGCCAAGCTAAATTTCCCAACAAATAAGGAAAACACGGAAACCAGGGTATTGCCAATCTCCAAAGGGGATATATAGCCTCACGTACTTTTTTTAGGATTTACAAGTAGCCCTCGACTTACGACCACAATTGAGCCCAACATTTCTGTTGTTAGGCGAGACAGTTGTTAAGTGAATTTTGCCCCCTTTCAAAGCCTTTCTCATCACGGTTGTGAAGTGAACCACTGCAGTAACACGGTTCTGAAGTGAATCTGGCTCCCCCGTTGTCTTCGCTTGTCAGAAGGTCACAAAAGTGATCACACGACTCCGAGGATGTCGTAAATATGAGTCAGTTGTCGAGCTTGAATTTCGATCACGTGACCATGGGGATGCCCGAACGGTTTGTAAGGGTGAAAAACAGGTCGTAAGTCTGGGGTTTTTTTTTAGTGCCGTTGTAACTTCAAACGGGCACTAAATGAACTGTTTGTAAGTTGAGAACTACCCGTTGTAGAATGAGGTCCTAATTCAAATGATCCAGGCGAACACGCACAATGCCTTTCACCATAGAGAGGGCAGGAATTGAGGGGCCTCGTTCTGCATCTGTAGAACGTGCCAAGCACTCAACAGAGGTACAGCGATGCCACTCAATTCCTGTCCTCTCTATGGTAAAATATGTGAGTGTGTCTCTACCATTTTTCGGGTTCTGTAACAACCTCCATGAACCGCAAGGCAGCGAAGGAGGCAGAGAAGGAAGACGAGACTTGGACTTGCTGAGGTTAGAACAGCGGTGAAATCCGACCAGTTCTAACCGGTTCGCGCGAACCGGTAGCGCCGGTGTCAGGAGGCTCCGCCCATCCACTGGGACGTCATTACGTCCCGTTTTTTACCCTCTGCATGCCCAGAAGTTTCTGCCAAATTCTACAAAGTATATTTCTGCTCAGGGTTAACATGGAGTGAACTTTTAAAGAGCCAGAGATAAATTTTTTTGTCACAATGTGAAGCTCCTCATCACCTATCTCTGTCCCCACCCCCTCTCTTTTTTTATTTTTCTTTTACCCTCCTTTACACAACTGCATAGATGTTGTTTCCGCAAATCGAAATGCACTTTCAGACAACTTTGTCTTCTTGTTGGGGTAGTTATTGTTATTTGTTATTTGTTGACTTTAAAAACGATGGAAAAGTCTGTGTTTGCTTTGGAGGAGTGACTGATGGGGGGAGGAGAAAAAAGGAAAAGAAAAACACAGCCACTTTATTTAAAAATGAAGATTGAGACGATGGAAACTGCGGGAAGGAAACCCTCAGAGGAACCTATGGCTCCTGTCAATAATAATAATAATAATAATTTAAGAACTAAAACCGTGAAATTCCATATTATATATAACATATGATTTTACACTTTTATGAGGCTTTCTATTGTGACTTTTATGGAATCAAGAAATGAAGAAGATGAGATATTTTAGCATTTCTATTTTTCAAAATTACATGTATACTGAAAATAAAGTAATTTTATGCATATTTTCGGTCTGTGGCATTTTTGTGCGTTGGGTGGTCATCTGATATAACTTGGATATGTGCCAAAAGATCAGATCTACATGGGAAGGTCCAATGTCTATGCACAGGACGACTGTCAAGTAACAGCACCTGTTTGGAGTTTAATATGGTGAATTAGGGCCTGGTAGCTCAGCAGACTAATAGCATTGTGATTAACAGCAGCTGCCTGCAATTACTGTAAGTTCGAATCTCACCAAGGCTCAAGGTCGACTCAGGCTTCCATCCTTTCTAAGGTAGGTAAATTGAGGACCCAGTTTGTGGGGGCAATAAGCTGACTTTGTATAAATATACAAAAGGATGAAGGCTATTGCTTAGCGCATTGTAAGCCGCCCTGAGTCTCCGGAGAAG